AGAAGAACCCGTCCAGAAGACCTATACTATTTTTTTCTTTTTGATTTTTTTACCTGGATTACTGAGATGCATCAGGACATAAAACAGATTGATTTATTGCTTCTGTTTGTTGGAAAATACTTGAAGACATTAAAAAAAATAATCGCATATTAAATCGCAGTTGCAATTTATAGATAAATAATCGCAATTAGATTATTTTCCAAATTCGTTCAGCCCTACTACACACATCTTTCTCATGTTTTTCAATAATTTCTTTCTTCAGTTCAATGCACATCATCCGCTTCTTTTTCTCAGTGCCATCAATGCTCTCAGTTTTTTTGGACCCATAGTTGGCAAAACTTAGTTYGTTGCAAGTGGAACACAAATGCTTTAACCACGTGCTAACTGCTTAAAGCTAATGATTGTGACGATGAACACCGGTTGCCGTGTCCCTTCCTGCGTTCGTGGCGCCATCTAGCAGTGGGGTGTGTGAAGTTCGCCTGTAACCCAAATTTTAGCTCTCAACTCAAAGCAAAAAAATATCTTAGAGATTTTTTGTATCTCAAAAAACTCTATTTTACAATACCATAGTTATATTACATTAATTTTGTTTTCATTTATTTATCCCCACCCCCCATCCAAACAAAAAATAAACAAATAAACAAACACGAACTTGGGTGTGGGTGGTGGAGTAGCCAGAATACAATCCAGTCATTTACATCATTTTTTAGATCACTGCATCAATCTGTTAGCAAGAATTACACAAAAAACCAACCTAGTCAATTTGACATAATTCATCCACTTTGACCATATTTATTAAAAATTGTCCCTTTGCACATGGACAGAAAAGGACAGTTTTTCATATAAATAGATCGCTTTCACTATGTTAATCCAGTCCTCAGTCGTTGGAGGTTCAGTTTTAAGCCACCTCCTTGTAAGGGGCTTTTTATTTGCGGCCACTAAAATATACAAAAGTTTTTAATCATTATAGCTCAGTTTATTACAGAAAAATAGTCTTTCAAAGGTTAAAGGAAATGCAGATGGGAAAATGTTGTAGGCTGTGTCTCAATTCATGGGCTGGTTCCTGGGCCACATCCTCCCTGGGCTGGGTAGGCTGCTCAAAACTGCTGTGAAATGAGACGGTCTACCCTTCGCCTGACATCGGCTTTACATGTCACCAAATCCCTTTAATCTCGTAAATTACGATTTTTTTTTACCATTCTATTCTCATTATATTATTATGACTTTGTTCTCATAATATTATGACTTTTATATGACTTTAATGTTGTAATATTATGACTTTATTCTCGTAACTTGTAGTTGCATTTCTTTTATTTAACATCTTATTGCAGCATAAATTTCATCAGCTAAGTTGCTAAACTAACTTTTAAAAAACAAATCCTTCGGTCTGTGGTGAATTTCCAAACTACGCCAATTCGTTAAAAAATAAAAACCT